GTGGCTCCATACAATAAACACTGGACTGCAAGACACAAGGTCCAAGGTTCAAGCCTGCCAGCTGCTCAGCAAAAAAAAGATGAGGCTTTCTATTCCCTCAAAAATTGAAAGAGCCTTGGAAACCCTATATAGGGTCACTATGAGTCAGACCCAACTTGAAATCACTTAGCAACAGTTATCATTAAATAACGATCCATGTTTAGTGTAGTATTCTTAAGCTGTGCTTTTACTGCCCCATGTTGTTATTAAGTGCTATTGAGTCGGTTCTGACTCATAGCAACCCTTTACAGGGTTTCCGAGGAGCAGCTGATGTGGTTCACAGTCCAGTACAGATCCTACAGTGCCACACCAAGTTAGTGCCCCATAGAGCTACTTAAAAAAGACAGCCCTACCAAAAAAAAAACACCCAAAAGCTCTATGAAGCACAGTTCTACTCCATAGGGAATCACCATGAGTAGAAATCAATACAATGGCAGTTAATAATAATATATTGACATGGTGTAATTCAGCAGTAAAAAAAATTAACAACTGCTACAGATGGATAAAGATCCATCTCCAAAACTTGTTATTTTATGGGAGGGAAACAGCCTTCACTTAAGAGCATTTATAGTAAGTTCAAAAAACAGGCAAAACTAATCTATGATAAAAGATGCCAGTCGAGTGCTAATCTTTTGAGAAGGGTGTGCACAGAACATCCTTCTGGGATGTCAGGAATGTTCTATCTGGGTGGAGTATAAACATGCGTAAAAACTTGAGCATTTGAGATTTGCGCAGTTTATTTTACGTGAGTTCTGTATCAATATAAAATAAACAACAGCAACAAAAAGGGTGTCTGGGGGTAAATTCCTATGTAAGCTCAAGATTCTGAAAAGTTAATAATGCTAATAAATTTTTGTACTAATTTAAATCCGCCCCAACTGTTAAGTAAACTAAAATATTGACTAACTAGAATTTTCATTTACTTCCCTATTATTCAGCCATTTATTTTAAAAAGCAACCAGACATTGTGACAATTTTTAAGGTAATAAAACTGAGTTGCATTAATTATACTTAAAATTCTATAAAGCATTGTATTACAACCGGTATCATTTGAACCCAATGAAAATAAATTACAATATTCTTTTCCCACTTAAACATTTTTCAGGTTCCAGGGACCTTAAGTATACCTACCTAATCTGAATGGGTTGGGAGTTTTCTCAGAGAACTAAACATATTAATGAGCTGTGGCACTGCAGGGTAAGCACTGGACCACAGGTCAGCAGTTCAAATGCACCAGCTACTCCCCAGAAACCTTATACAAGGTCACTATGAGTCGAAACAGATGTGACAGCACGTAACAATAACAACATTAATACAGAGAGATTCTATCTCTTACATCAGAAAACAAGCTTATTCTAAATGAAACAAACATGTAAGAGAAAAGGCAGGAGTATTATCACGAGCCCTGGTGTGGCACTATGGGTTAATGCACTAGATTGCAGTTCAGTTTGAACTGCAAGGTTGGCAGTTCAAATTCACCAGCCACTCCTCAGAAACCCTACACAGAGTCAGAAGCGACTGGATGACACTGAACAACAACAACATCATGAGAAAGTTCAAGAAAAATAATAAGGTGCGGGCAAATCCAAGTCGAAAAGTTTCTTCCCGAACACAGTACACTACTTACTTTCCATATCAACGAGAGAATATTTAAGAGCTCACACTCTATTACATCACAACATTGTTTATTATGTGAATTTTTACAGTACAAACAAAAAAATACAGAAATGCAATATATGAATACAGCTAAATGCAGAATGGTGCCTTTTTTTTTTCCCTTTAAGAGGCCATGATTCCCATTTCTAGTAAAGAGACTGCACATAGGTAGAAACAGGTTGGTCGTTAGCTTCACAATTTTGCCTAGAAATGATCTATAAATGCATTTTCCCCCTACTACTTACCATTAAGTGTAAAAAGGGAGTTAAAGGAAAGTTTCCTTGTTGGTTCTACCATATGAAAGATGCTATATTCTATTTTAGCAGGGCCAATATATGGAAAATATCTAAATTAAACATTATTACAAAAATGAAGCAATAATGAGATTTTGGCTAAAGAGGGTACTAAATGAGAATAATATATATTTAAAGAATCCAAACAAACAAACAAAAAATGGTTGTTATAAAAAAGCTCTAGGTGCATTGTAAGCATATAGTTTTTTTTTTCCATGTGTATTTTTAATCAATGGAAGTGTCAAAAATAGGATCAACTGTGTTAGACTAAATTACATCATTGTATACGCTGCACTGAATGGAACTTTTGTATTATAATTATCATAGAGAAGCATAGTTTGCATCATATTATGGCAATTTATCCTCAATGAAAACCTTCCAGAGTCCTTTTATTTTGGATATCCTGTAAACAATCAAACCACCAGAACATGATTGTACAACAGTAAAATGTTCTCTTGCATTAAACTGAAACATCTGTTTAATCAAAAAAAAATAAAAAAGGAAAACGTAGGAAAGGTACTTAGGGTTGTTACTTTCTAAGTACACAATAACCTTAGACAATTCAAGGCATCTTAATCTCCATCAAGAACAACAACAAAAAAAAATAATTTTTGTCATGCTGTTAAATCCATCAATTATGGATAAAACTGGTGCAAATTGGTCAAACGGATCCAACAAACACTGATGTCCAAGCTGGCATATTGGCAACTAATACATAACTGGTGGTCAATAGAGGGGGTTTAAAAGATCTTCCCTTTCTTCTTGTTCTTTTCCAAGGTTCTAAATGATTAAAGGAAAAAAAGATGAGTGATAATGTTATAAAACATTACAGATAACATGATTGGCTAACCCAACAACTGGGCTGGATTTTAAAATACCATTTTTTCATTTAAAACAATTACAAGATTTAGAAGTGACCCAAGAGGATGATACTCTTCTACAGTTTTTTCTTAGACAATTAAGATATTTGCCAAAATTTCTGTTAATCAGTAAATAATATGGCAAACTCTCACTTTTAACATACAAAATTCTTCCCAAACAAAAGAAGCATGCAAACTGAAAAGGACCAACTGAAATTAAATAGGGCACCCTTTTCTCTTACTGCCACTTCTTTCCTGAAATGCATGTGTTTCCGTAAATGTATTTTCCTTATTTTCGAGGATAAGGTTAATAGAAGGAGAGTATTACAGAAAGGAGTCCTGATGCGCTATAGGGTAACTGATAGACTGCTAACCACAAGGTCGGTAGTTCAAACCCACCAGCTACTCCTTGGAAATCTTTGATAGGGTCGCTATGAGTCAGAACTAACTTGACAGCAATTAACAACAAAATTATAGAACTGTCTAATCTTGAAAATCTTTATCAATGAAGATAAACTATAAATTTTCCGTTGTAAATGGGGCTTATGAGGAAAATAACATCAAAATACAAATAACTGAGTTCTGTATAAATTAAGAGAATGTAACTAGTAAGTTGGGGTCCTGGTGTGGTACAATAGGATAATCAGTGGACTGCTAACCACAAGGTCTACAGTTAAAACCCACTAGCTGCTCCACAGAAACCCTATACAGTGTCACTATGAGTCGGAACTAACTTGATGGCACTTAACAACAACTACTAAGTTATAGTAGACATTGTTGTTGTTGTTAAGTGCCATCGAGTCGATTCCGACCCATAGCGACCCTGTACAGGGTTTCCAAGGCTGCAAATCTTGACAGGAGTAGAAAGCCTCATCTTTCTCCCACGAGGTGGCTGGTAGTTTCGAACTGCTGACCTTAAGGTTCGCAGCCCGATTAGTAACCACTACGCTACAAGAGCTCCTATAGTAGACATTAGGTATCTAATATTTTAAGGATCTTGCCCTGAGGAAACAGTTTTGCAAAACTGAAACATACTCCTAAAGGTACACAAAGAATTAAGCATTGGGCTGCTGACCAAGGAGAAAGATGAGGCTGTCTGCACCTGTAAAAACTTACAGCTCGGAAACCTGATGGAACAGTTCTACTGTGTCCCATAAGATTGTAATGTGTTGGAATCAATTCAATAGCAGTAAGTTTGGTTTTTGGTGAAGGTATACAAAATCTTTCCAGCAGTGTTCTCTATGCTTGCCCCAAACAGACAACCACCATATGTCTAACAACTAGGGGTTGTTGTTATTGTTAAGCGCTATTGAGTTAGTTCCGACTCATAGCAACCCTGTATAGGGTTTAAAACCAAGGAACAGCTGGTGGTTTGAACCACCCATCTTGTGGTTTGCAGACCTGTTCTGAACCTTTGGGTGGGGGTGGGGGGAGGTCCTACAGAAGCAAGAAGTGACTGGCTTACAAGCTTTCAAGAGGAAACCTTAAAAAAAAAAAGAAGAGGGAACCTAGACCCAGAGGGCATGGAGCAAGGTAGAATCTCCACTGAGTAGTATCCAATCTATCTAGGCGGGACCGAGGAAAAGGAGATGTGGATAGGTCTCTTGTAATACAATGGTGAATAATTGTTATCAGGACTGATTGTGAGGGTTGGAAATGTAAATGTAGACGTTTTGTAGCAAAGGGAGGGGAGAGATTAATTTTGCAGTCTAGAAGCGGAGGTCCCTGGAACCAACAAGGGAGAAGAGCGGAGAACAGAACCCTACCCAGAGAAGCAATGATGCCAGAGATGGAGGCAGAGACGATAATGTGGAGAGATGGAGTGGCTGGATATTTTGGACCCGGAGAGGGAGAGGGCCTGAGTGCTGACGACCAGGGGGCAGGCTTGCAGGGTATACGCTGTGGTTGGTGGATGATGCATGGAGGGAGGGGATTGTAATCATGGCAATGAAACAATATATGATGGGATCAACGTGAAGCTAATGTTCTCACATGTAAACTATCACATAACTCACAATAAAGCATTAAAAAAAAAAAAAGATTCATCCACGAAAATAAATGTGCTTGGAATTTATGATACTGAGTGATAATTTTCTAATTGTTATTGTAAATATTTTTTGGTGGGGGTGTTTCTTCCCCAAGAAATAGGAAAACAATGGTTTAAAAGTCAATACAAAAATTTCTTAGCAATTTGATATTGTTACCTCGAAGAGTTCTGTTGTTCTAATATACGCTGCTGAGCTTCCCAGTTTGCTTTCTCATCCTCAAACTGACGACGTTTTTCCTCTAATTCTTTGTGCTGTGCTTCCAAGTTCTTTTTCATTTGCTCATGACGCCGTTGGAGCTAAACCACAAGAGAAAAAAATTGCACAATATATAAAACTGTTTCAAGAAATCAGGAACACAAGAAGTACGTTTCACCCAGCTAGAATAGACATCCTAATGTATGAATTTGAGTCCTAGTGATACCAATACCACCTGGAAAGCATTGCCTAGGATTCCTTCTACGAAGGACTTGCCAATTGAAAGATTAGCGACCTGAGAGAGTAACCTTAGGATGAACAGGAAGAAAGCATAATAGATTTACAGAGGTGAAATGCTTTAGGAACGCAGATATCTGATCTCAATTTCTTTTACTCATCAGCATTTTGGAATTTGGGCAGGGAAGACACCATTGAGCCCAGTGTATAGATGAGGGAGTATATGCAGTTTAAGCGACTTGTCCACGATCAAACCAGGACTGGGGCCTAAGTCTCCTATTTCCAAATTCAGAAAAAGGAGCTGGGGCTGGGGATGGGCAGGTAGTTAAGGACAAAGAGCTCTGAGACCACCTAGTCTGCTATTAAAAAAAGATTCCTAGGCCTCATCCCATACACACTGAATTGGAATCTGTTTTTTTTTAAATTAGTAATCTACATTTTCAACCAACCTGGTGGTCCTTCCAACAGTGAGAAAACAAAGCCATAAAGAATGCTGGCTCAGAGGTGGGAAGCACTTGTACAAAGGAACTGCAGAAACAAAGAGCATAAATCTAGTGGATTACATTTAGACAGGAGTCAATCCTGAAGAAAATCTGAAGTGACATCTTTCTGATGATAAGCAAATAAGTTTCTAAGAAAAGAGAAACAAATAAACACATCCCAAGGGAATCGTACATCCACCATTCAGAACAGCGGTTACTGCCGGGAAGGGGAGGTACACAAGGCAGGCTCACAGCTGCTGTCATCCTTTACCCTTTATGTTTTTGTTAAGTTCCGACTCATAGTGACCCTGTATAAAACCCACCAAGGAGTTGCTGGTGGGTTTGAACCACGGACATTGGGTTTAGTGCTTATCTTACAGTGCGCCACACCAAGTTGCATATACATAATTATCTTTGTGTTAACTGCATGAAAGTGAAAGTATAAGTCACAATCCCTCACACTCAAGAAATGCCTGGAGTCAGATGTTTTGAAGTTTAGAATTTTTAAGGTTTTAGAAACATAATATTATTTATTAAAGATGCATGCATTGTATTTTATAAAACATCTCCTAGGCTGTGCGGGGTGGTAGCTGCAATCAAACATATTATTATTTTTCAGTAAAATATGTAAATATATATTAGGTAAGGTTTTGCAGTTTTCTGAGCTTTTTTAGGTTTTGAAAATTGTGGATGAAGGATTGTGGGCAAAAATAAGACCTTAGACTAAGAATAAGATTAAGATTAAGAACAAATTTAAGACCTTAGACTAACTGGATTCAAATGCTGGCTCTACCACTTACCAGCTATGCAGCACTAACCAAGTTATTTTACCTTTCGTCTCATCCATAAAAGGGACCTTTACCTTGCAGAAGTGTGATGTGAACTAAATAGCATAATGCAAGGGTTAAGTCAAAAAGTACTGCTAGTAGGGTTCCAGTTCAGACATGCACAAGTTTATTCCAGCAGCATTTAAACATGCCTCTGCTATGAATGGATGGCTGCAGACCAGCTGTCTCAGTAATATACCTGTCTTAGTCTTGGCTAGGGTGCCTTCATAAAAAAAAAAAAGTCCAATTAGCATAGTGATTTCTGAGGGGGTCTGTTGGGTCACTTACATTCAAAATAGAGAGGTCAGTTCAGAAGTTATGTGACTGTTTTGGGATTCCAAAGAGGTAATGTTAATGTATTTTCTCAAAGGACATTCGACCACCACAGGGCTCATTAGGAACATGTTTTTAAAGGCAACTGAACACTGAATTGGTGAGAAAAAGAGAAGCCAGGAAAGTTGCACTCAGGAATTTTTTTTCCCCATTGTAACAATGCATTTCTTTTAAGGGTAGCAAGAGCTGTCCTATGAGAATTTTGTTGGAAAACTTTACCCAAACCACCCTAAGCCCTGACCTTGCCCTTTCAGATTTCTTTTTGATCCCAAAAGACATTTCAAAGAAATATGGTAAGAGTCCCTTAAAGACGTCCAAACTTCCATTTTGACATGGGATAAATTGAAGAGCATACAACCGTTGGAGAAATGGAAATATAAGTATATAGACCTAGATGAAGGATATATTGTGAATCAAGTTTCCCAACTGATATTTTTGTTTAGTAGAGATTTCTATGATTTTGCAGCAGCTTTTGGAGTTACTTTGTATGTGAGAGATGCTTAGTGCTATGTCAGATGCACAGTACACACATAAAACATTTATCAGCTAGGAGGGGCTTCAAAGAGTTCATGGTGAATTTCCATTTTCCCACAGACTTTTTGAAGCTCCCTCATATGTTACTGGCACTGTTATTGCTGTTAAAGCATTTTTCAAACTGGCATTCAATGGAACACTATGCTTCCTGATATCAGCAGCTCTGCTCTCAGCAAAACATTTTCACACAAATGCGTTTCAGGAAAAAACTGCATCAAGCAAACTTAAATGAGTTTCTTGACAGACATATGAGAGTGCTTTAAAAAGTTTGTGGAAAAACCCATTATCTTTTAATTCCATTTTCCCACTAACTTTCTGAAGTTCCTCATATTTACATATTTTTGCAGGATAAGCAATGGACTGATAACCACAAGGTCAGTGGTTCAAACCCACCTTGGGAACCCTATACAGGGTTGCTATGAGTTGGAATTGACTTGTTAACAACAACAACATATTTTATGAGGCTTTCCAAACATTAAATCTAGGATGTTGGTAAGAGGCAGGGTTCTACTAAACAAGATGGGCATGGAATGGACAGGTAACAAGACCTGGCTTAGGAATTCGGAAGATCTTGGCCCAGCTCACTTCACAGACCATTTCAATACCGAGAGCCTGTCCTTCAATGAGTTAGTTACTCAAAACTCTTGTTTTTACCATTCTCAGGAATCACAATACTTTGAAAGAGTCTTTCGACTATGGTTTCATAATTATGTTCTTGTAATATTTACTCTAAGGAGTAGGCGATAAAATATGTCTATACCAAAGTAAGTTAATTACTTCTAGATAATCAATGGGATCTAAATGTGGAGATAATGCAGCTGACTATGGATTACTCCTTGTTTCCCGCCCCCCTTTCCTTCTGATGAGTTTTCCAAATTATTAGCGAAGAAGGGGTAGAGAACTCATGTGGACAAATACAATAAAAGGCTAAAAAAAAAAAAATCAAAGGACTAAATTCCATACCTTATTGGAATAAACTCATGAAAAAAGTTAACAACAGTGAATGTTTTTATAAATTTAAATCAAAAAGGGTTTCAGTGTATTAAGCAGTAATTACAAATTCATGAGACTAACAATATGGATGTAATAAGACAGATGTGACTTTCTACATACAAATATTTTATTAGTGGGACAACATAAAACACAGAGATTTCAATAAATTTTATCACTAAAGGTTAGTGTAAAAATAATTTCTAGCACAATGATTAAGAAATCTATAAAGAGAAAACTTTCTCATCATCAGCTGAAGGGATATCGCCAGACACTAACTGTATGCCTCAACATCTAGAGGGATTTCAAGATAGTATGTCTGCTTGATGGGATGCTTGGTAACGCCCCAATGTTGCAAGACTGGGAATTATCCTTCATATGGAGTCCTGGCATGGCACTGAGGGTTAATGTGCTGGAATGCAAGGTCACTTTGAAACGCAAGGCTGGCAGTTCCATCTGACCAGTCACTCCTTGGAAACCCTACACAGGGTCGCTATGAGTCAGAACCGACTCAATGGCACTAACAACATACGTCATACAAATGTCTGGGTTATTATTTACCCTAAGAATAATTTTTATTCTTATATACATCCAATATCCTGTCCTCTAGTTTTCTTTTACCTACAGCTTTTATTTTATATCTCCTTACTGTGTATTTTCCATCCAAGTATCTACATATTCAAGTATATAACAGGAAAAACGAATTAAAATAACAGAATTTTTCCATGAACTTTTTGAATTCCTCATATTATTTTATTAGAAACACAGCACTTCCTCTTCTTTCTCAAATTTATTAAAGTATTATATTTATTTAAAATAATGTATAAAAAGGTTATGTCATCTAAGAATTTTACTCAAGGTGATATTTACTATTTAAAACAGGAACAGTGTGTCTATCTTAGAGCAGGCAATTTGAAGGTCAGAATGTTAACACTTATTACCTCAGCTTCAGAATCTTTCAGTTTCTGAACTTTTTCTTTGACCTTCATCTCAAACACCTGCTCCATCTCCATCTCCATCTTCTTCATCTTGGCGACATGCTCCCTCCTTTCCTCTTCCATTTGTGCCAGAGGGCTCCTGTCAAGTGCACGAAAGACAATCATGTCAGAAAAGGAAAACTGGGAAACCTCTGATAGATGTGAGTAGTAACAACTTTTTCAAAGCAAATTTCAAAATATTACTAGCATTGACATGCTCTTAAAATGACACAGCATACAGATTTTAAGTTTATGTGCAAATGGGCTATGAAAAAAAGATCTAGAAAAAAGAAAACTGTTAGTGGGATGTTTCTCTTGCATATTGAAACGAAAATGACAGACAAAAGAAACTTTAGAAAGGAAACATTTCCCAAACATGGTCAGAATGAAAAATGAGAAAACTGTTTTATTCTTTGTTTCAATAATATTTCCATTTTAGGGAAAAAAAAGAAATTTAGTTCATGAAGTTAATACATACAAAATATTTTAGTTCATTTAAAATTCCAAAGACAAGGCAGTCACCCAGTTGCAAATGAGTACCGTAAGTCTGTCTTTAATCAGAATTTGAGGATACACACAGTTCTTATTTAGTCAAATGTTTGTCTTAGTATATAGAATTGTGGTGCTGTAGTATAAGCACTGGACTGCTAACCAAAAGGCTGGCAGCTGCTTCTTGGAAACCCTTATAGTGTTGCTATGACTCAAAATCGACTCAAAGTCACTAAACAACAACATTCATAAGAAATACTTCCAAACCGCTCAACGTTTTCATGAGCAGCACAAAGCAGTATGTGCATTTGTTATTACAAACCACTGTATAATTTTAAATATTAGTTTTACAGCAGTTTGTTCTGAAGAGTTGTCTGTAAGTGGAATGTCCATATTGTTGTTGTATCTCAGGCAATGTCTGTACTACAATTTCTTCTCCTAAAACAATTATGGACAGTACAACTGTAAAGTTACCAAAACCACGGCCACCAAGTCGACTACAACTCATAGCAACGCTATAAAACAGAGCAGAACTGCTGCTTAGAGTGTGAGACTGCAAGTCTTTAAGGGTAGCAGACAGCCTCATTTTTCTCCTACAATTATATGCTGGTAGTGAAGTGCTATCGAGTCAGTTCTGACTTATACTGACCTTGTACACAGTTTACAAGGAGGGACTGGTGGGTTTGAACCACCAACCTTGGTTAGCAGTTCAGTGGTTCATACTACAGCACCCAACCATAGCTCCAATTACCTAGTTAGTTAACAATACTGCTCCTTAGGGTTTCTGAGACTATGATCTCTACAACAGCAGATGGCTTCATCTGCCTCCCGCCTAGGGACTGTGCGTTTGAAACACCGACCTTGTGCCCAACCCACTATATCACCATGGCATCTGAGGTTTCATGAGGTGACTAAAAATGATTCTGATACCTAAGTGAACAATTTTCTAGAAACTGACTGGTAGTTGTCCAGCTGTCTGCTACAGTAAAGATACATAGTCTCAGAAACTCTAAACAACGGTTCTACTCTGTCCCATGAGTCAGAATTGACTCAATGGCAGTGAGTTTTGTTCTATGTAACTATAAAGAGCCCTGGTGGCACAGTGCTTCAGCTGTAACTAAAGGTTGGTGGCTCAAACTCACAAGTCCTTCCACAGGAGAAAAATGCGGCAGTCTGTTTCTATAAAAATTACAACCTTGGGAACTCTATGTGGCAGCTCAACATTGTCTTATAGGTCACTATAGAGAGTCACTGTAGAGCTAAAAAAGAGGAGCAGCCCCAATGAGATGGATTTGCACAATGGCATTGTTAAGGATAGCACAGGATGTGGACAGTTTGTTCTATTATACATGGGGTTGCTAAGCTAACAACACTATGAGTTGAAATCAACTTGATGGCAATGGATCTGGTTCTGGATGGGTATGGTAACTTCAATGCCCTTATAAATTCATTCCACATAAATATTTTATTGCCTTAAGTTATACTGATGTTAGGTGGTTAAACCAACAACACACTAGAGATAATCACAAGCAAGTATTTTAGTAACTATTAATTTTTTAAATGTCAGAAAATACATACAAAGCAGACTTGATAGTAAAGGTCTATAGACTCAAATCTTTGCATAATGTGCCTCACATTTTCATGTTAGAAGTGTCTGTAGTTGAGCTGTATACTTCAGACACATTATCAGTAAGGGTCAGTCTCTTGGCAAAGCAGAGGGGCCAGCAAAAAAGAGGAAGATTCTCCCTTCCCCCCCCCTTCCCAATGAGATAGGCTGACACAGTGGCAGAAATAATGAGTTCCAACATAAAAACTGTGAGGATGGCACAGGCCAGGCCAGTGTTTCATTCTGTTGTGCACAGGCTCACTATGAATCAGAACTGTCTTGGCACTGAACAGCAACATACTTGTAAACACAAATGAAAGGCTAAGTATTAGTACCCTCACCCTCACCCTGGTGTGGCACTAGGAGTCCTGGTGTGGCGCTGAGGACTACAAAGTCTGTTTGAACCTCAAGGTCAGCATTTCAAGCTCACCAGCGGCTCCTTGGAAACCTTATACAGGGTTGCTATGGGTCGAAAACTGACTCAATGGCACTTAACAGTAACAACTACTACAGTTCCACAGTAGGGAAGAAAAATAGACTTTGACGTTGAGCCTCTGAAAGCTATTCCATACAGTGAGGGCAGCTTAAAAGAGGCAAGGCTTTCTTTGAATTTTGCTGATAAAGCATGTTTATTTAGATTCCCCATAAACAACTCTTGACCATTGAATTATACACATTAAATGAGTGAAATTTAATCTCAATAAAGCTATTTTAAAATTTAAAAATTACTAACTTTAAAACAAAAGTCAGGCTTTGGTTTTACTCTGATACGCCACATTCTGATTGCTGTGCTTTCTCCTTATTAAGCTAAATTACACTTGCTCATCACAGCACTCTTCTTTCCCATCCATGAGGAAGACAAGAAAGCTAGCTGGTATGTATTAAGCAAGACTGAAAAAGAAACAGACTACCAGAACAGTTATGTGGGAAAAGATGAGGCTTTCTGCTCCTGTAAAGATGGAAGGCTCAGCAACCTTTTACAGGGTCGCTGTGAGTCAAAACCAACTTAACAGCATTCAACACCATGACTACAAATTAGGTCTTAGCAAAAAGACGTAATGTCTTTTGTACTCGTATGTGATGTACTGGTATGAGCAAGATAATATTTTTTGTGTAATTACTGTAAATTGGAATAAATTGTTATTTAACTTGAGGCTATTTCTTCACCAAAAGAAAGCTTACTTTTATATGTAAATTTGACCAAATAAGCACTTAACCAGATCTAAAATTGAGCACCAAACCATAAAGACTTAGAAAAAGAACCTGCATTGAAAATGTGGGGTTAATTACAAAGTAAACTTTCAAGTATAAATGTGATTTGATTAGAAGCTGATGTAATCATCCTTCATAATATATTCCTCATACTTATATCAGGTGCTTTTAATATAAGGGCCTCACGCAGAGAATCTGTGAATGTCCCTCAGACTACACAGCAAATGAATGTGTTGTTTGAAATTTGTCTACAAAGTTTTTGACATCCTACTTTTAACAGCCCTGGTGGCATAACAGTTAAACTCTCAGTTGCTATAAGCTAGTAGTTCAAATCCACTCAGCAGCTCCATGAGAGAAAAAAACTCAGTGGTGTGCTCCCACAGAAAACCCAATGGGGCAGTTTTACTGTCACACAAGATCACTACCTAACTCGAAGGCAAAAATATCTAAAAAATGCTGATTCTACTTTATCCCTTGGGGTGGAGGGGGGGGGCGCACATAAGCAATTCATGTAAACACAAAATTCACAAAAATTTGCACCTGGAAAGTCTTACTACCTAAATTATTACATAAAATAAATTTGGAGTGGAAATAGGACACTATAAAGAAACATGAAATGATTTTCTCTGTAATTTTCTTCAGAATTCAAGATCTAAATAGTAAAGATCTGTACATATTAAAACTACTTATGTCTTTGGAAAAACAAATGACCACTTACATGCCTTCAACTGTGTCAAATCTAGAAGAACAAAAAACACAACAGACTTAGCACATGTATGTAACAAAAAACACAACAGACTTAGCACATGTATGTAAAGCAAGACACACTAAAAGCAGCAATGAAAGGCAAACTCAGATTTTACAACGAAATGAAGGCATAGGCCTTAAATAAAAGTTTATGTGAAAATTTATTAAGGCTAGTGAATTTATTTTCCATATTCTATTACTAACCCCTACATCAAATCATTATTAAATGTACTGAATAATTATCTTCTGACAGTCTGCTCAAAGCTCTAAATTTATTAAATATGTGTACTTTTAAAAAAGAATTTGGCAGTATCAGCCCTGTAAAAATTATTCGATTCCTGACCAAAAAACCCCTGATATTCAAAAAAAGGAAATGTTCATGCATATCTAAAATGCATTTCTGAAGTCTCTAACATGACAAAATGACCTTTCAGGTCTTTCAATTCTGAATTAGTAATCTGTGCATGCAATGTAGACAATGCATGAAAAATCACTCTTTACTTGCATTACATTTAGTGTTTTCTTTTTTTCTCAAGCAAAACTTTTTTTTTATATTAGATGGCTGGAAAAATCTTAATTTTAACACTGTCAGCTTGTTTTTTAATGGGGAAACTCTTTACTATCTATTTAGATCCTCAAGCTTATATATGTATGTGTCTGGGAAATTCAGAGCAATCTGCCCAAAGAAATGAAAAGGCCTAGTAAAAGAGAAAGAGGAAAAAAAAGAACTCCCCCCCCCCAATTATAACATAATCAGAATATTACACTAAATTCCCAAAGATATAATTCAGATACCATCCAGAAGTCATCAGACAAGTCAACACTTCATGTGACCTGACAAGGTTCCACTGTGTTTGTATGCGTATTACATCACCTCACAGTTTGAGTGTAATGGAGATGGCAATGCTGTACTTAAATTTTTTAAGTGTGGTCTTTTCTGAAGAACAAGTTATGTACATTTACATATTTCTGCTCCCATGGTTTGGTAAACTCACGATGTATGTATATATATAGCAATTTTCATTTTAAATATTTCAAAGACTAGT